GCACGAAGGATGATCTCATATGACACTGCAGGAAAAAGTATCACCTGCGATGCAGGCTACCGTTCAAGTCCAGCACCTAAGGAACACTTGAGCAACTCAAACTGCGGATTCTTCATTGAGCCACTGTGCTACCAATCTTTAAGATCTGTCAGAATTTAAGTGACAAACCCTGCCGTGTCTCTTCCTGAACACGGAAAACATCGAAGTTCTGTGTCAAGATACCCCGCAGATCAACCTGAGGACCTATCCAGTCATTCTGGTCGAAAAGATAGATTGTCCAAAATTTTCATTAGGTTTGTTCGTCATATCTCAGCTCATCTGACTCGATATATATGATCGTACTTCATGCTCAAGGGCTTGTCGCATGCCAACAACGAATGCTGAGCGCCCTTGACATGCTTGGCTTCTGGAAAACGTCGTCTTGGCTTCGATCCAGACCCAATCCGGACGAGGATGATGACCAACGCGTTCTACTGCTCCCCAAGGACTGCCACAGCATCCCGCTGACTTCTCTTCGTCCTCGCCCAAGAGACAGGCTCCCATTCACAAAAGTCCCACAGCAGCGTTATGTGCACTTTGGAATTGGCGGCGCCGGAAACACATGCAAGTATGGCGGCCCCTTCTCAAAGGTCCTCTGATCGGCTCCAATCGGTCCATACTCTCGTCTTCGGATTACACATCATTACTCTTGTTCACTATTTTCATGATTCTCTACTAACCGTTGCAACATACAGGGTCTCAATATGTGATGAACAGCCAATCAGATCAGCTCCGCAGCGGATGCATCGGTTGGCCCAAAGCAAGGGAGGGACTCGGGGAGCAGAATGAGACGCGAGAGATTCAACATGACGCAGGCCAGAACCAAGCAGAAGCAGTCGGGAGGAATCTCTCCAAAATCAGGGAAAACGCACGTGGATTATCACAAGTACTGAGGCGGGAATACAAACCGCGACGATTCTACTATTCCTTGCCTTCCATCCGCTTTGGTATGCGCCAAAATCAAGACATGCGATCCGCATCCCCCGAACTGCTGCAATGTCTCAGTTTGATTGTCAACATTGCTGGCTAGGTCTTGATTGTTTATGGGACAGTGTCAATCTTGTGATCGGGTCAGATCTTGTTCTCTGTACCACAAACATAACAATATGAGCGACTCTGCTGTGGGCCAAGATGCCTGACGCTTCTCAGTCTCGCGCCAGTGCTAGTACTTGCGGCCATGTCTCTCTTCTCGATTGACATTATTCTTGATTCTCCTGAATCCGGAGCAGAATTCCAGTTGTGTGGTCATCGCGACGCGGAATCCAGTAGGCTTGCCCCTGCCGGGACCCGCACCCAAATATGCTCGACCAACTTGCCGTATGGCTCAAACGACATAAACAAGTCTACCAAGATTTAATGCCACATGTTATTATTTTGCTTCATCTGTCACTTCTCGGGTTATACTTTGTGCTTCCACTGCCTGTTCTCGACTTCACTAAGGCGGTGGGATCGTCCTGTCTTTTCCTCTTCTCCTTCTACAGTTGTTCAGCCACGATATCTTATTCCTATGGGAGCCCGAGCGGTCCCAGCTGGTCTTTTTTCCCTCGCTTGGTTTGTTTGCTGAAGACAAGGTGCTCTGAACATGGCGTCTTTTCCTGCGGTTATCTGTGTATTAGCATTATTCCTTCTTCCGACACGTATTTCCGCAACAGCGTTGGGCAAGAAATCCGGAGACTTTTACTTTCCACCTTTAACATATGTTCCTCAGCTTCTGTACATTGCCCTGTGTTCAACCTTGACTCATCCAGGCTGACTTGAGCAGTGGAATCCCTTTCACAGTCCAGGACGACACTCCACAATCATGGCAGAATCCTGTTACAACTGTTACCCACCAACCAAATCAACAGAGCTCATCTTGTACAGCCACAGGGACCAGCTCATCAGGATTCTGGTACGAAAAGATAGCCCACAACGGCCAATCCTCATTTCTGAGCACGGACGTGAAGAAAAACTACCAAGTCTTCCGTAATGTGGTCAAGGATTTCGGCGCCGATAATACTGGCCAAAATGACACAGCTGGTGCTATTCAAAATGCTATTGAAGGTATTGCGGCCTCCTCAAAAATCTAAGCAGAGCGCCAGATGCTGAAATTCAGACAGCGGGGGCATCCAATGGTCCCAAGCGCAATGCTCAGAGCATGGGCACAACTGGTCAACCAGCAATCGTGTATCTTCCCAGCGGTACCTACCTGATGAAAAGCAGTTTGCAGTTTTTCGTGGGTACTGTCCTGGTCGGGGACCCGACAAATCCACCGGTCTTGAAAGCAGCACCGGGTTTCCGCGATGACCATATTATTTACGCAAAAGACCCAAATGTTGAGGGCACAAACAACTTCTATATCGGTCTCAAGAATGTGATTCTGGATTCAACTAGTGTTGATACAGCACAAACCATCGCGCTGGTTGACTGGACAGTGAGTCAGGCGACGCAGTTAACTAATGTGGTGTTCAACATGCCCACTGGTCCCAGTGCACACGTCGGGCTGACCACTCAGTACGGCTACAACAGTAATATTATTGTGGTGGGTACTCTTTGATATAGAGTTTGAATGTCTGTTAATGCGCCATCGACTTGCAGAATGACCTGCGCTTCCATGGGGGCGCTATTGGGATGAAACTCAATGGACAACAATGGGTTTTTAAGAACCTCACTTTTAGTGGGACGACCACCGGCGTGGTAGCTGGAGGAACGAACATTGTGTTCCTTGGATGTCGGTTCGAGAACGGGAATGTTGGGATAGACGCCAACGGTACCTCCGGATCCCTGACCATCATCGACTCGAAGGGATCCGGGTTGAACTCATTAGTCGTATCTGGCAACTCCGGGGGCGCTGGAAATGCGATAATCCTGGAAAACGTGGAGAATTCTGGCACCACTGTCAGTCTGGGGAACAATCCAGTGCTTAGTGGAAATATGCTGGACACTTGGGTGCATGGCAACTTGGTAAGAGCTCATTCAACTTAAAATAGGACGTTTGAGCTAAAGAATCCCAGTACTCCGCCGGCAACACCAATAAAAACCACGTGGAAGGCCAAAGTGTGGCGACCAAACGAGTAGCCGACCTTCTGGGTGGGAAGGACTATTTCATAATGCCTCCGCCGACCTACAGCGAATTCACTGCCGAACAGGTCCTGAATATCAAAACAGTTTCTGATAAACCGGTATATGGCGATGGAGTAACCGATGACACACAGAATATCAACGACATTCTGGCTCAGAATCGTGACTGCAAAGTTATTTACTTTCCGGCCGGCACCTACATCGTCACGGACACCATCTTCGTTCCTGCTAACATTCGCATTGTTGGGGACGCTTATGCGTCGGCTATCAGCGCTTCCGGCAGCAAGTTCACTGATATTAATGCAGTCCGCCCTATGATTCGCTTTGGTTATCCGGGGGATACCGGAGTACTCCATGTGAGCGATATGATGTTTACTGTAGCTGATGTGTTGCCCGGATGCCAAGTGGTGCGTATTTCTCCTGACACTAGTTCTGAATATTCGTTTGACACATATCTCTAGGCGGAAGTGAATATTGCGGGCAAGATCCAAGGGGACGTCGGATTCTGGAACAGCCATTTCCGCATTGGGGGTGCTGCAGGCAGCCTGGTCCAGACCAAATGTCAAGGAGGCCCGGCAGACTGCAGAGCGGCATGGGGACTGCTGCGCCTCACCAGCACATCGTCAGCCTACATCGAGAACATGTGGGGATGGACAGCAGACCATGACCTCGACGGCAGCAGGAATCAGGCCATCGCAACCGGCCGCGGCCTGCTGGTAGAAGCCAACAAAGCTACGTGGCTGGTGGGCACAGGCTTTGAGCACAACACTCTGTACCAGTACAACTTCCAACGCGCACGCAATGTCTTCTCAGCCCTCCAGCAAAGCGAAACGCCGTACTGGCAAGGACCGGGTAACCTCCTTGCTCCAGCGCCGTGGGATCAGAGTCTCATCGCAAGCGATCCCGACTACTCCGAATGCGCTGCCAACGATGCAACATGCCGAATGGCGCTGTTTGAGCTGATTCGTAGCTCGTCTAATCTCTTCTTGTATGGCGGCTGCAACTGGGTGTTCTTCAATAACAAACAAGGTTGCCAGGGGGACTGTCAGCAGAACGCAATTCGCATCGTGGATTCCTCTTCGCTATATCTGTATGGGACCAATACCAAAAGCACCACGAACATGGTCGTCAATGGCAATACAGCCATAGCAAAGCAAAGTGACAATGCTGGTGGATGGGGAGGAGTCATTGCGGCGTATTTGTACAATTCATGAAGGCGGCGGGTATATACATTGGGTGATATGATTATGGGTTATACATATGAAATTGAGAGCTAAGAGTGATAGATAATGTCTACTGAGCAATGTATACTTGAAATATCCAGGTCACATCGTATATGACCAGTACGAGTCGTCAGGAGAACCCGCAGTGCTCCGTATCGAATCGCCAACAGCTCGATTTACAGTCGGAACTGACAATCTTCAAGATTGATCATCTGTTTGATGTTCTCTACATGCCTGTTTATATATTTGGAAATAATTGGTCAAATGTTAGGAAAATTCTCTGCATTACCTGACCAGTGCATGAGTCACCAACGTGGAAGCCATCAGCTTTATACACTTGTCTTGATGATATGATCTCGATAGGTATGTATATGGTTTCGAGAAAGCCTAAGGGAATGTGCAAAAGATATCTATTAGTCGTCATCGTTATGTATGTAGTCATTCACACCMTTACGTTCCTTCATAGCTTAGGTAAAATTATAAAAGGGAGCTGGACCCCTTCAATATTGGCGGGATATTCACAGGGCGGCTGCTGGCCTAACCCCTGCCCCCACTGCGATGAACGCTATCTCAAATTCACTTGTTCAAATTTGTGGACTCTTAGAGTCCCTTCCCTTGCTGATCGCTTTCGTCTTCTTCGGTTAGTTGGTTACCAGGCTTTATCCCATGAAATCGAATATGCACATCCCGGACAGACACGGTGCCGTTGAGCAAGCGGCGGAGAAGTGTCACTTTTCCCTTACGAAGCAAGAAAGATCTTGTGTTATTCTCCTCGACGTGGAGCGTGAGATCGAGTGGTCTTTCGGCAAGAGCGGAAAGCCAGTGACAAAGTCGATTGCGAATATATCCCACCAGTCCGCTGTCATTCTTTACCAACGAGGTATTGAAATCGATCCCGCCTGCAAGCAATGTTCGGAGTCTGGCACGTTTCGGAAGTGCATCGTCTCCCCCAAGTACAGTTCGGATGGTACTGCCCGTGCGTTGTTCCAAGGTGCTTGTGCCAATTGCTTGTGGCACGGCAAGGGCGCCAAGTGCAAATACTACCTGGGTCGTGATAGGCAGTGGAACTCCCATGACGACGTGTAAGTTTCTCTTTTGTTTTGTTCCCTTAGCATGGTTGCTTATTTGTATAGCATGATTCTGCAGGCTGGCGGTTTGTTGAAGCTCTGGAACAACGGACCTGCTCTGAAAGACCTCCCTCCGAGCAATGAAAGTGCTAAAGTCCCCTCCAAACAGCAGTCAGTCGCTTCGAGTCGTACTCAAACGCCCACTGCGAACAAAGCTGCTGTTGAAGTTCCTTCGGCCAGCAAGGCCTGGACTCCAAGTTCTGTCGAAGCTAGCGCAAGTCGCCCTGTCAGTCGTCGTCCTTCCGCCGCTACCGTCGACAAGGGTAGGGGCCCATTTCTCAAACGACTTCGCCCGTCGTCTTCTGCTGGTTTGACTCCTTCTAAGAAGCGTCGGCGCAATCCTCTTGACGGTACTGCTCTCCAGTGGCCTGTTAGCATCGATGACTTCGAGGATCTCGATCGCCTTCGTCTCATCCGTTCCGACCTCGCCCGTTTCGGAAAGATAATCGACTATAAGATCGCCTCCTTGGAGGCTCTGCTTGCAGAGGCCGTGGAAGAGGAGGACGAGGACGAAGACCAAAAGGAGACGGCGTACTGGGATCAGGTGCTTTTGGATCTTGACGATTAGCTGGCGGCCTTCGGTGTTCTCTCTTTTGTAACTAGTCCATTTCGCTCGCCTCTCTGGAGGCTCTGTTCGCAGAGACCCATGAAGGGGTTGGCTTGAGCCACTTCGCAGTTAGCTAGTTTTGGTCTATAGCGACGGCGATGGGTTGGCATCAGTTTATCTTCGGTACGGCGATTCTTCGGGGTTCCTTTTGTTATTCTTTCGAACCAAATTGTACTTGACTAGTTAGTCAATTGAATGGGTATGTTCTTCTTCTATCCAATATCCCGTAATATTAGACAACTAATGCTTCTCCGATTACTCCTGACGAGCTTGAATCACCACCGGGAATGGCCCATCGAAGTCCGTATCTCCCTTTGGGTTCGATGAAATGCCTATATGGCTCAAGACTCTGAAAATAGGCAATCAGAGTGTGGTTGACGATGGACCCAATCTGCGTAAGGCTTATTCATATCAATGCTGGCACATAGACTCGTTTAATTGCATATTTGGTCATGTTACGTTCTCATGGATAGAACCATTACACACTCGTGGCAGTCGTAGGTTAGGGTTCAGGGTTTCATCCGTCAACTTCAGAGCCCGATAGATACACTTGTCCGCCCTTTTCTCAGTCCATCAAATCGTGCCTATTTGAGGTTCCTCAGGTCTCAATTCTGTACTTTGTACATAATTCCGAAATTGACAAATTAGACAATAATAAGCCTTTTATGGTGTAGTGGGCTTGACTGGATCGGGCCGCAATCCACTGTCCACAGACTTTATTTAGTACTCGGCTTCGGTCAACTGGACAACAACAAACATCGTCATTAGTATCAACCAGGAATAACACAGCAAGGGAATTGAAACCTAATTCATCAAACCGCTATAATGCATCCAACCACAGTCAATCTGCAGCTTAGATTTCCAATCAGCTTGAGCCATGTCATATTTGAATCTGTTGTTCCTGATCGGTTGTTTAACTTGCTTCTACAGGTGGCTGGGATGGGATGAGGAGGCTGGGAGTCGCTCATTGACTCACTCCATAGTCCAACCACCCAACCCAATATCCACAATACTGACATGACAGCCTCCTCATCCCATGACAATCTATGAATTATCATTTTTCTCCCTCGCATATCATTCTCTGCCTCTGGTCATCCATGTGAAGGTGAGCTGACCGCATACATTCTTCGGTGTCTACAGCCGTCATGAATGTCCCGGGGTCGGGAAATGTGAGTCTGAGGACTGTCAGCTGTAAGTGAAAGAAAAAGAAAATTGAGAGGCAAGCTTGATCTACCATATTTGCACTCTCACTCTTCCACCTCCCCTTACTCCTTCTATAGCTGCCAGGCAAGATAAAAGGCTCTGCAGGGTGCTGACGATTCATCGCAGCAAGCAGACCACAGCTGCTCCGTTCCGAATCTAAACAGTCAATTGCTGCGTCGGATGACTACTATTCCCTGTCGGATCGTACGACAACGTCCAGTTCTAGAACTCCAAGTGCGGAGAGTCGTCTCACCGTCCAGCGGTATGCTACGCCGAATTCCCATCCTGTCTCAAACGCATCGTCTCCCACGTTATCTCGAACGCATCTAGGCGCCAATATGGCTGGTTCTCGATCGCAACATTCCATTCTGGAACAGTCTCGAAACAGAAATGTTCCTCCCTCCGACCCCAGACAAGCTCGATTCGAGCAGGGCAGACTGATCCCTGTCAGCGGCATGTCCGGCGAGTCCATTCGACATGTACCAAATGATAGTTATGCCGGTCGCTCACCGACTCCCGGGACGGACGACTTGCCCTACATTCGATTCGCCATTAATCAGCTCACACGAGAAGACGAGCCACCGAGCTTATCGAGGCAGTCCTCGGCTGCAAGTGTCGAATATCCGCCACAGCCTCTCGTCTGGGATGCAGCTCTGGGCCAGTTCACCCGTCCCTCGAAGCCTAAAGGAAGTCCATTACGGCCTCCAGAAGAACGATTACACCAGCAGAGTCCGCCAGGAAGGTCGCCACAAAGCTCGGTTGATCCGGAGGCATTTGTTGCTGTTGACCCTCCGGACAATAACCTGCTGTACCCCCCGTTGAATTTTGTGCCTATTGTACTACGACCGTGGGCACTGGCTCTGGCCATTCTTTCTTGTTTGCTCATGATTGCCGGGGTTATCTTCTGCAATATCTGGTCACAGCGACACGAAGGAATCTGGGACTACGATGGACCAGGAGGCTCACGGTATTTCGTGGTTCAATTTTTACCCCAGATTCTGGCCGCTATTATCACCATCTGGACGTTTGTAATCCAGGCGGCTGTATACCGCATCATGCCATTTGCAATCATAGCATCCGAGAAGCTCCATGATCGCGTGATACAGAAGCTGCCAATTCTGTCACGCAACTTCCTGCTACCTGACTGGTCGTATTTCAGGCATGGAGAGCCCTTAGCTGGGCTTGCTCTGCTTACGATCTGGATCTCAAACATCATTACCATCCCGCTTCTCAGCTGTTTCTTCCAAGCAAAGTGGTACCTGATCAATGGCGAAGGGCAGTGGCGATGGAATGCTGTCCTAGCTGTGGGGTGGGCACTTGTGGCCGTTTACGCGTTACTTGCTCTTGGGCTGACGGCACTCCTCATTCGCTTTATGCGGATATGGTCTGGACTGATGTGGGATCCTGTCAGTCTGGCTGACCTGATTCCTGTCATCCAGCGATCCAACATTCTGCATGACTTTGAACAATCCGAGACACTGCCGGATGTGGGAAGTGCACTTGAGCCCAGAGTCCTCCGGCTAGGCTATTGGCAGGTGTCGAACCGTGCTGAGGTCTTCTACGGAGTTGCTGAGGTTGATGCCCCGATACGGAATCCATCTCTGCACCGACCAGAGACGAGCCGTGAGAAGCAACCGCTAGTCTCCAGGGTCTCCTTCGATATCGAGCGACGGAGCACTCATGCGGCCGAAGGTTTTGAACAACAACTATACTCCCAATCTGTCCGTTATCGCTGGGCACCGTGGTTTCTCAAAGACACCTTCGTGGTCGCTTGGTCGGTGATTATCGGCGCGCTTTTCATTGCGTTCGTGCTCGTCAGCTTTATCCACGATGCCATTAAAGGCGGATTTCCTCCACAGCTACCAACATTGCCCTCGACGGGCGCTTTCTCATCCTCAAACTTCCTGTACAGCTTTATCCCTGCTTTGATCGGTAATATTCTCTTCCTCGCCTGGCAACCGATCGATGTCTACTTCCGTGCACTGCAGCCATACGCCACTTTGTCCACTCCAGATGGTGCTCGAGCAGAGCAAACTCTGTTGCTAGAATATCCCGCATCATTTCCTCTTCAGGTGACAGTGCAAGCTATTCTGAATGCGCACTACAAAGTGGCATGGATCTCTTTGATGAGCATCGTGTCCGCAGCTCTCCCTATACTGGCTGGTGGCGTCTTCATTGCCCTCTGGTATCCCACGCACGAAGAAATACGAATTGCTGCACTAATGCCTGCTTTCTATGCATTGGTTGCCTTCTGCGCTCTATACACCGTATCCTTCTTGAGTATATGGCCCCGCAGATACAGATATCTTCCTCACGACATCAGCACACTAGCAGACCAAATCAGCTTCTTTTACCAAAGCCCGCTTCTTGCCGATAAGCTCCTCCGCGAACCCAGAAGCAAGACGGATCTTGTCACTCGACTAGTGACAGCGCCTCCGGGAGAGAGGCAATATCCAATGTACGGCTTCGGGATATATGTTGGGCGTGATGGGAAAGAGCATCTCGGAATAGACCGATTCCAACGACCTGGACGGTCCGATATGCTAATTACAACTGGAAAGATGGAAAGCTGATTGTCCTATTCCTTCTTTCAACGGCAAACCCGGTGCGGTTATTTATGCTATGATACGTTCCATGAACCTGGTTATTCTACGAGCCTACGAAGCACTTTCAAAAAATCCACTTATGATTGAACGACGACGATACGACGATGTCGGGCGGAAATTTTAATTACGATTATATTAAAACGATTGACTTACGATGACAACGATGATGTATGCTTAAATGCGACGATTTGCTTCTTATTTTTCGTGATATTAGCGTCCTGCATGTTCTAATACCATTCTGTTTCGGTGATACTCTGCTATGTTTTACTGGGTTCTGAAAATGCTCTCTGCCATTTCTCTGTTTTCAAAACATCATCCACCTGCATGGCATTGTACAGGCGCCTATTTGCTTTCCCAGCTGTACCCCTAGAGAACACAACAGTATCATAAAGTTGGAGTGACAGCATCTCTAATTCTCTATTATCTTGATAAGACCAGATACCATCCGTTAAAATGAGTTCTCACAGGATCGATTATTTACCCGGACCAGCAGACGGCGTCACTGCTGGCTGGTGGTTTGTCTTGCCATTTTTGAATAGCCTCTGCTCGMTAGGGTTGTTTACGCGGTCACCAACTGGCATGGATTTCAGCCGAGTTGCTGATATACCCTTCTGATGGTACTTTGGGGTAGCCTTGCTTCGCTATCAAATTGGGGAGCTTTCTATTTGGCGCATAGTGTATTATAAGATACAAACAACGATAAGCCTAATTCCGTGGGATTTACAATGAGATGAATCTGCAGCTATGGATCGCAAGTGAGCACGTGACCTCAGCAAATATCAACTCCGCATGGTATCTCCGCCTCGATGAGACCCTTTGAATCAGAATCCGTTTGACTTTAAATATTCCTTAACACGACCGGCTTCCAAGTCTCGTCTCCTTCTGCTTGTGCCGGATTTATCTCATTGTGCGTGCGTCGGCATAAAATTATCAACTCAACTTCACCTAAGCAAGTCCACCACTGTCCACACCCACCAAAACACCTCAGCTCAACACCATGCTCTCCTTCTTCAACTGGGGCCCCAGCCCAAGCCCAACCACAGACTCAAAATCGGCGTCTCCAGCATCCTCCCAACCCGAGTCCACCCCCGGATCAACCGAACCGCAACCACAGCCGCAACTAACGCAATTGCAACCACCAAGACATCTCACGAACCTCAAACTCCTCTTCGGCGGCGTGACCTTCTTCACCCTCTCGCTGCTCATCACCCGCCGCGCGTTCACCAAGCGTGTTATTGCCTCCACACCGCCCTACTGGACGTCGTCGGTGTACCACCGGCCCCCTGCCAACGGCGCGGGGGACGCCTTCGAGGCGCTGAGCCTCGCGACGCTGAATGTGTGTTCGTTTGCGATGATGGCTACGGGCGGCGTGCTCTATGCGCTTGATATCAATGGCGTGGAGGATATGCGGCGGTATGTGAAGAAGGAGATGGGGACGGGGACGGTGCGGGATGAGGAGACGGAGAGGGAAGTGGAGGAGTGGGTTACCAAGGTGTTGGGGGAGAAGTTCGGGGTGGAGTTGAAGAAGGAGAAGGACAAGGAACCCGGAAATGTTGAAGGGAAAGCGGAGTAGAGGAGAGGTTCTGCAAGAAAATGTACAATGAAACATCATCCTCTACTCTTGTATACTAGTCATATCACGAATCATGAACTGCATCAGATTGTACAGCTTTTAATATTACACTGGGTCTGGTCACGCTACTTGTCCATCCGTTCGTATCGCTCCCGCGCAGTCTGCCTCGTCTTCTCCAGGAACTCATCGTACCGATTGCGTGTGTTGCGTCCCGCTTCCTCGACCGCATCACCCAACTTGCTTCCTTGTGCACCTAGTCCGACACCCTGCGCATACACCTCCGTGGCTATCGGTGCGGTCATGCCAGTACCCTGAGCTCCCAGTCCAGAGCCGGCTGACCAACCCATCTTGCTGAGGAGCGATGCACCCTTCGATGTTGTCTCCACTGGTGGCTCTTCTTCCTCCTTCGGCGCAGCAGGCTTGGGCTTGGTCGACGTTCGCGAGCTGCCAAACGCCTTTCGACGTTCCCTTGCACGGTCCCTATACTCGGGGGTAGACTGAACGATGCCATGTTTAATGAGCTTGCCCATTGCTTTGGACTTCAATTCGTCGTTCTGCAAATTATCACGGTGCAGCTGACTGAGACGTTCGTGTCTGTTGACTTCAGCCGAGCTCTTGAATTGCCGCATGCACAGGTAGCAGCAATTCCGATTCAAATCAGCATAGGATTGTGTGGGAGGAGCCCCAGCGTCGGCCGGCGATGCACGGCTTTCCACGCCACCGTCGCTTCCCTTCTCCTCTGCGTCTTTTTTCTGAATGCCATGCAGCTCAGCATGGCGATTACTCCAGAACTGCAGATGAGAGGGTACCGCAACTTTCTTGGACGCTGCGCTTGCTGCGGCGTCTGCTTTTCGCTTCTTTGCCTTCTCTGCTTCTTTCGTACTCTTCCCTTGGCTTTCAGCTTGGCCCTGCGCGGTCGAGACTTGGTTATTGTCCAACTCGGCAGTTGACACCGTCAGTTCTGTCACATATGCCTCCTCGTCCCAGTACATAAGCTTCAAGGATGGGTTACTGAGGGGACTGAAGGTGAACCGGTCCGTGCTCGCCGAAGGATTGATGACAGGTACAAACACGCCAGCGTGTATGTAGCTTACAAGAACAGGCTTTGAGGAGATGGTAAATTTTTCAAATGAATGAAGTCGCGCAACAGCCGCTTGGGCATCCTGCAAGAACAGTAAGCTTAAGCGAGACATGGAAGATCATAACAAACGTACCTGAACAGTGGCGAATTCCGCAAATCCATAGCGCCAGCTCTCGTTGGTTTTGCGGTCTCTGACCAGTAGGACACGGCGAATAGAGCCATCTCTTGCCCCAAGATTGGAATCACCAGTGGTGGAAGCCACTTTGGCCCCCTTCCTTTGGTTCTCCGAAGATCCACCCGAGCCGGGAGTAGGTCGGTAGAGCTTAGCCACGCCCTTTGCAAGAAGCTCTTCGGTGACAGAAAGCTCTAGCCCTCGGAAGAGAAGAAACTGCGAAGGCTGATTGTCTGGAGCCGCATCGTTGTCGCCGTTGTTCTCAACCTTCGGAGCAGCAATTCCAGGTGGACCAGCCGGGCCAGCCTCTGCGCCCTGTCAGAAACTCGCCCCATATTAGACCGACGGAAGGACTTACCAGGCCGGGGCGCTTGGCATCGGAAGCATTTATTACGAGTCGAGTAGTTAACGATAGCGCACTGTATTGATCCAGGTCAGCTTTCTAGATTTACAATGGCCCAACCGACTCACCATTTTGCAGGTCCAGTCACCGTCGGCCCTGGCACGAGTGCGATCCTCCCTCTCACGACTATAGGCAATGCGAACTTTGGTGCCCTTGTCATTATTGCCGGCATTAGGTCCATGCAAATAGATCGATGGGAAGTTGCGGTCCATAAAGTCGCGTGCAAAGTCAAGGTTCCTAAACCTGAGGAAGCCAAGTTGCCGTGATTTTTCTGTACAAGTCAGACATTTGTGTGCAAATTGCGGCAGAATAACAACGTACTGGTTTGTCGGTCACGGATCACCCGAACTTCTTCTAGACCTTCGACATAGTAAAAGTCTCTGAGCTCATTCGAAATCTGTTCAACACGTCGACCGGAGCAGAACCGGTGACATGCACATCTCAGCCTCTTGCCATCAAGGACGTGTTTGTGACATGGAGCGTAGCTCTTAAACTCCAGAAATGGAACTTCAAGGGGGGAAGGAGTTTTCCAACGTCTTCTTCCGCCATATCCACTGGCAACCCATCCATCATGACTTCTCTGCTTTCCTTTTCGTGGTAAGACTGTCGGCTTCGACGAGGGCTACGGCTGCGGCTGTAGCTTCTACTCCGGCTGTATCCGGGTGAACGATATCCCTCACGATCACGATCTCTGTAGGCCGGCCTGCCGCGCCGCGGTGGCGGTGATCTAGAAGGTCGCCGGCGATAGTCATCGCGGTCGCGGCTTCGATAGCGAGGTCGGGAATCTAGTCGGTCTCTGGATGGTTCGCGTCGCCGATCTGCAGCTGGGCCTCGCGGAGGAGAGCGCTGGCCTCCTTCACTCAGAGAACACTGTTAGTAAATTTCTACTGCAGGCGAATATATGGCCTCCCTAAAGCATCCAGCTTGATAACATGTGGGGAAAGAGAGCGTTTACCGCCAGGCGATCGCGATCGGGAAGGCGAACGATCATCGTACATACGACCGTCCCGATCGTCACGGCGCGGGTAAGGGCGATGAGAGGATCCMGGGGGAAATCTGCTGTCTTCCGGATCGAAATGTGACATGATGATACGGCAAGAAAGCTGTGTTGAAGACTTGGAGAAGGACAGTCGACTGACGGAGATTCATAGAGATATCTGGCAGAATCCTAGACCGCCTTCTGAACTTAACTGTCGCTTATACTTCCCAATCGGGCAGGATTAGAACTATAACATTTCCCAGGCCATGCATCATCTCTATGTTGTTAAGTTTAACACGACCTATAGGGCTTCAATCAAATAAATGCCGCTTCATCGACTCATAGACTTCTAGGATAAGTGGAATAAGAGACCAAATAGGCCTGTTGCATGGACCCATTTGCCTTTGATGAGTACTGCAACTTAACATTTTCAGCAAACTAGCTACCGCAAGCATACCCGTCTCTTCTGGCCTAAACCTGGTATTGGTTTACTCCTGCAGGTAAATCTCTGCCGTAAAATCGAATCCACCCCTGATAATCACGAGATCGTCATTGCGTGCAAAGAGGATATCCCGCCGAAGCACGGCGCAAATTACGTCCCTCGACCCCGCGACCCAGTCGTACGGGATGAAGAAATGTCTGCTGTACGATGTTATATCAGGTGTTCGGTTTTCCAGGCTCACAGAAGATACCCAGCAGCCGGTGTCGAGGAAGACCAGTCTACTGGAGTCGCAGATTCCAATAACATGTGCGACCCTCTGTGACAGAAGGGCGAGCCTTGGCTCCACTGGTGAAACCAGAGACTCACCTTCCGGCACGCCTTGACCTTTGACTATTGATAATGGCGCTAGAGCGTCGTCTAGCGCTGGTGATACTGAGATGGCATCCTCGACGTTGTCTTTATTGTTGACTTCGAAGGATTGTGCGTCCATAAGATATAGGTTTTGAGTCTTCGCTGGGCCGCCTGATTCGGACAACTCAATGAGAACACACTTTGCACTATGGAACGCAAATTGGTTGATGCTCTTAAACTCCAGCTCTCGCACACTGATGTCAAGTGACACGGATACAACCTGGGACCACTTATCCCATGTATACACACGGGCAGCTGTACTTTCAAAGCAAATTGCGTGGTGTGCTGAGCGCGGATGCTGAACCCATTTTCGCACGCCTGACCAATCGGAATATATTCGTGAATCCTCCTCGTGACCATCAACTTGCCAAAGATGATCCGATCCACGTGTTGATAGAATGAACTTCCCAGTTGCTTCCGAGGTGAGAACTTGAACGATGGAACTGCCGGACTCTAGTCGGAACTGAAATGCCATTCTCTCGGCGACCCATTCGCCTTGAGCTGGTTTTCTCACATGCCAGGCGAGTATCTTATTTGATACATCAACGCTTATAGCTAAGTCATGTTGAGTCCACCATTTCAAGATGCGAACTGATGAGTTGTGACGGCAGATTCCAAGCTTCCTAGAACCAGTTCTCGCGTCGTACAGTGAGACAGATCCATCGTCACGGCCGCATAGGACAACATCGCTGTCATAGTGCACTGCTATAGCACTGATCCTGACCTTTCTGTCCGTGGCAATCGCTTCTACAAACGATTGTGATGAGCTTTCGCTCGTATCATCACGGACTGAGCCTCGAAGCAGCACCGGCGGCTCCCAGACATTGCATTGTGATCCTCTAATATCGACACAGTGCAGGCTGTCAATGCTGAAAGACAGCTGTTTTACGTGGAGACTCGAGGCTTGGACTCGGTAAAGCAACGTGAGAGTATCGAATTCGTATATTTGAATTGCTCCAAATCCAGCACTTCCCGCAAGCAGGCGTCCGTCCGAACTGCAAGCGAGCGTGTGGCAATTCGCGCGATGACTTTCCAAGGTTTGATCGTCAAATGGATTGAGAAGAACAAGCTCACCATCAAGGTATGATGCAACAAGTAGATCAATAGCTGGGTTGGGATTGAATACCAGGGCTGTCACCGGATGCGTGCTCGTTCCACCGTCAGCGAGCTTTTTGCCGCAAGAACCATAATAAACGTCCTCTTCTAGGTCCCAGAGAGCAATCGGCCGCCCACTGTATGCGACTGCAAGCATTCTATGTCCGAAGGAGATCGAGATCGCACTTGGAACCCGCCTTGACCGCGTGCACTTGTCGCCTGCGTCATTCCACGGCCTGTCTGGTTGCCTAGCGCCATTGTTGTTCAGATCCCAAGATGCCAAGTAATTTTTGTACGTTGGAATAATCAGGAAATATTCGTCGAATGTAAGACCTATAGGCCTACCTGGCACTTCAAAATTATAAAGAATATGACCGTTCTGGATGTCCCATACCAAAACCTTCTTGAACCCACATGAGGCGAGTAAGTTAGCCTTGGTTCCGAACTGCAGGAACATGACCGCCTCTCCATGATCAAACTTCTTATATTCCTGACACGTCGTCACGTAGTACGTAAAGATTTGACCGGTTCTCAAACCCACCGCGAAAAACTCGTTTCCGTGGCAGAGTGCGCTAGTCTGGCCTTGATGGAAAGCAATGCATGACAGTCGATCATCCCACGAAGTGTCTGACATTCCAATAACAGAGATCTTTTGTCCGGAACCCGCAGTCTTGCGGACTGTCGTTTCTAAGGGACAGAAAGGGGGTATCAGCGAGTATACCGCTAACGGTAGGCTGATGAGAGCATCAGAAAACTTTGCCGAGATCCTGATTAAGTCCGTTATCCAACCTTCCACCCTTTGTAAATCAGTAGCAAGCGGCGGCCGCTGACTGGAGCAGGCTTTCAAATACACTCTCAAGTTCCTCGCAGTGCGGATGAGTGGCATGAGGTTCCTATTCCTAGCGACAGCCTCGATCCATGAAAAGACGTTGGTCTCCAAGAACTTGTTAAGTAAATTCAGAAGGTCGTCTGCTAGTGGATTGGCCTTCATTAGGTGATAAGAAAATTTTAAGGAAGCGTAGCTCGAGAACTCGCTTCTTTTTTTTGCTGGAGTCCTTGAGATAGGTCGCCTATTGGTCCGGGGGGGTCTCATCTCCTCCCCTGCAAGGTATGCAAGACAAGCTCTTGCGATACGCGTATGAGCATCGGCTTGATCAATCGCGAACTCTGAATTCAAGCTGTTGTTCAACAGAAACTCCCTAGCAGTTTCATGCACCATCTGGACTCTGTCGAACTTATCAATGGCCACCAGCTGCCCGCACAGTGCACTTATACTTTCCCGCAATCTGGGGAATATATCGTTAACATCTAATTTCAAAGCTTCTTCAAGTTCTGTCACAGTTAGTGGTCGCGTCACACTTGTGGCCCAAGTCAAGATAGCTTTAACCAGCCTCTTCCCACGTCTAGCTTGCGACATCAAGTCCAGTGTTCTCAAATAAAGATCTTCCATGCCTTTGGGCACTTCCGCGAGTACCTGGCGGATCTCCTCCTCCGAATGCGAATCGGATAACTCATTGAGAACCAAGACAGTCCAGAGCCAAGATCCTTCAGACTTTCCTAAAATTCTTTCTGCAAGAGCAGCACGATCAGCTTCGGATTCGACGATGAGGGCATTAGCTCTCGCTCGAACAAGCGATTCAATATCTTCTTTTGTGTCCGCCGTCGAAATAAGCTGCGCTCGGACTTGGTCATGTCCCAATATTGCAAGACGCCTTTCGATTTCCGACGTTTGTCGGCTTGTGACAAGAATCCTCAGCGGGACCGAGCGATCAAGCCTGGTAAGCACAATTTCGAAGAAGGATACTAGGTCTGCACACTCGTCGAGAGCATCAATGACCCAATAGTGTCGCTGGAAGTTTGTTTTGAAGATCCCTGAGGTAAATAATCTTCTCCAGAGGATACGATCGTCGTCACCGTCGAGCTTTACACCCCTTTTACGCATTTCAATCAGTAGTTGCCGTATCTCTGTGTTTACGCAAGCCATTTGAAAAGCAAGAGATCGAAGGCAAGTACTAAGCTGTGACTTGGACCTGTCCCCGTGTTTGAAAAAGAAGAAACTACAAGCGTCATGCTCCGTGCGTAACAAAGAAACCAGGTATCCTGAAAGTACGGACTTGCCAGATGCAGGTTTCCCGTAGAGCCAAAGCACACGCGCAGCGTTGAGGTCGTTGTCTTGCCACTCTAGGTAGCTTTCCTTCGATTTTATCCATTCGCATGTCCCAGGCAAGCGAACAGCCTGAACAAGTATCAAGTCGTCCTCAAATTTGTCAGACACGTCGAGGTATTCACTCAGGTCGTTGATGTCGCTACGAAGTAGCCTCTCCTTCGATTTCTGCGCTACGGCGAATTTAGCGACCTGCTTGCGAGAGCTAGGACCGAATCATACCTGATTCCGCGGCACTGTTGATTGTGACCGCGAGTGCATTGCGAATGAGTATATAATTTGGATCGGTTGGCGCTTCGAACTTACATATGGACCGATGATCAGCGTTCAACGGTATTCGTCTCTCTTTGGGATATCCGAGTGTAGCCGAGTCGGGGTCAACAATCAGCACACGAAGGAGACCTATGCTGAGCTTTTGTGTCTCGTAGAATGACCACAGATCCACATCTTCCGAATATCTACTAAATTCGTCATTAATTGATTTTATAGCGTCAGATTCGCGCTTCAGGTCGGAGACATAGGCCCGCGACGAGTAGGCGATGTTGAGGAGATTGCTTAAAAGCTTGGCAGAATCAGAGCCTCGGTGAGGTGTCGCGAGAAAGTACATGGCATGAATTCTTTTGATCAGATAGCGATCTATCGCATCTTGCTTTGCCAACAAAAACGCCTTTTTGATGACCAGGCCCCCCATGCTGTGACCAACGAAGATGATTGGCGTAGCTGCATTGTGCAAATGGGGAGAAGTACTCAATTCACCCAACAAAGATCGAGCGAAGTGATGGATATCMAGGCAATTAGCCTTGCCCTTGAGCCAGTCAGAATCATACCCGAAACTGTGCACTCGGACATTCTTGAACGCGGGATCCCTAGGAAGCCATTCCTTTGGCCAGTAATGTGAAGCGGAAGCTGTTTTGCTCCACGTCTTTCTGGAACCGCCCCCGAGACCATGAACAAATATCAAATCGATTAGAGGTTGTTCTGGAGAAAACAGAAGAATCAGACCTAGTGGTCCTCTGAGCTCTTTGGCGCTCACTTCTGTGGCAAATTTGTTCTCGACATTGATATCGGTCGTCTGGAAAGTGCTGTAACTGAAGACACCGGTTGCAGAAACCTCGCACCCTTTACGATGTGAACTCTGGAGCGAATCTGCCAGTTTGTGTCAGCAACAGCACTAAATATCATACTGAATATCCGTGGTCCACAAAGATCTCACTCACCATCCTTTCGCGGCATTGTCTCCAACCACTTCAGCTCAGAGATGTGCTCAGTCCCAGTTCCAGAAGACGGGGAGGGGTATCAAAATAAAGTTCTCTAAACCATTGATGCGACATCGCTGGCTCGTCGTGCAGCGCAGAGAACCTGCGGACAAGCATTATTACATCCAATAGCTCCCCTGCCGCGGTTAGTTCCTAACAGGTATTGGAGTGGCAAGGTAGCATTATTAGTCAAGGGCAGGAGTCCAACAGCGCAAGGCCACCCGATGGTCACTTTTTAACCTAGTGTGCCTCGCCCTAGATTGAGTGGACGAATGAATATCTATTGTTTGGCGCCCACCACTCAAGGTCGAGATGAGGAGTGGTTTTGGAACGTAATGTTGAGCTCCTGGATCGAAACCTTCAATTTTCCGGTCAAATCTCAGGGCTTCAAATGGAAATTAGACCATGAGTCTAAGCCTGTATTATGGATTCATTTTGAAGGTTTCATGGGACGCTAACCTCTGACAAGAGCCAAATTTGATAAAGGTGTTTGAAATGCTAGTAAGGTTGATGGGAGAGGCTGTGGCTGTACAGAGTAATTGTAAGCCATGTCGGCGCTATCTAGCCCTGTTTTGGCAAGGCCGTCTGTAAGCCTAAGGCCGGACTATTCAGGTAGATACAATCTTAGGTATTTGTTGCTTGACTTCGTTCCAATGACGAAGACTCGTCTTCCATGTGTTTTCTCACATTTGCTCAACTCAAAGCTTCAGTTTGCCTAGACATACGGCCACATAAGTCAGACCACGTCTTCAATCCGACAGAAAACATAATGACAACCGAAGCCCACCCGAAAATTGCGGCAGGCGATCATAAAGCTTATATGGAATATGCTTTAGAGAAAGCTCAATTGTCCCCGCCAGCGCCAACCAAGTTCTGCGTGGGAGCAGTTCTTGTGGACGTGGATAAGAACGAGATCTTATCGACGGGATACTCGATGGGATTGCCTGGGAATCGACCCGGAGATCCAGGCAACACGCACGCAGAACAATGCTGTTTCATCAAAGTGGCGGAAAGATATAATATCCCAGAAGACCGATTGGGCGAGGTGTTACCAAAAAATACGGTGCTGTATACGACGATGGAGCCATGCAACGAGCGCCTAAGCGGAAACAGGACATGCGTGGACAGAATACTGAGTCTCAAGGGCGCCGTTCAAGTGGTCTACGTGGGAATCAAGGAACCGGAGACGTTTATCGGTCAAAACCTGGGCAGGAAGAGGCTCGAGGACGGTGGCGTTGTCGTTGAACATGTTGAGGGTATGGAGCAACAGATTATGCAGGTATCCATGGCCGGACATGATAAATGAATCACTATTTTCAAGAGATGTACATAGTTTTATCTCTCTCCCTTGTACAGTGTTAAGGATTGACTTTTATAGACCATGTCTCTGTTTCCACTAGAGCCATGGAACGCTCCCACAGATACGATGAATGCTGCTTTTATGCCCCCAAAGAATGCGAGTGGATGATACTCCATCAGTCACTGCACCGTACTCTGACTGACAAGAAGAAATTTTGACATACGAATATGGCCAATGGCGACCTGTCTGCAATCGCTTCCAACGTTGGCTTAATATAACAGTGGCTTGACGGCTTGAGCTTGTGTGGTTGTCCGATCGGGTACCTGAGTACCTGACATATGGTCATGCGGGCCAACATGTTGCTTTTTTTCCGCGCCAGAGCTGCCGTACGTAAAAGTCTTTGATGGTTACAATCGGAGGCTAACTGATTACGTAGGGCATACGGAGGATATCGGCCATACAAACATCCTAGAACTATAGATTCAAGGCTGGGGTAAGTAATTTCTTCTGCCAAGGAATGATGAGGTAGCCGTTCTCATCCAGGCATTGTGCTCAACAATGAACCACCTAAACGACCAGTGGTTGAGAGGAAACACTACATAAGTTGTCTTTGAGTGAAAGGGGAGGCGGATGCGGACGGAGACGGAAGACAACAAAGCTTCTGCGAGCTTGCCAGAGCTCTGAAGCTGATTTCCGCCTATGGTATGTTAGGCGAGATCACGTGAAGGAGAGCTCCAATTCCCCGCCAACTGGGCGAGTCAGCCGTTCTGTCGAGGTAAAGAGGGATCCAGCAATAAATTGATTCAAATTTAGGGGGAAATCTGCTTTCTTAGACCATTTCCCTGATGGATATTCCATGGCCTACGTAGATATACAGACGCATGGCAAAGATCATGGCATGCGTTGAATGCGGAGACCTATGACGTGGCACGATTGGCGGGGAGAGAACAGAACATAGGGAGGGGTAATTGTGGCTTGAGCGCAGCTCCGTCGATGCTAGCTAGCTTCTTGCGGTCGAGATTCAAAACTGCCCCTCCTTCACAATTTTCCTCTTCCCCTCTCTCCTCATCATCACATACCATACTTTCGTTCCCCCTCAAGATCGATAAAATCAGCAACCATGGCTATCAAGACTTTCTTCGATATCACCATTGACGGTGGTAAGTTTCCCAATGGTCTTATCGTCCAGCTGAGGAACATGTTCTGATGATGATTACCCTCCAGAGCCGGCTGGCCGCATCACCTTCAACCTGTTCGACAACGTCGTCCCCAAGACCGCTGAGAACTTCCGTGCTCTCTGCACTGGTGAGAAGGGATTCGGCTACAAGGGTTCCAGCTTCCACCGTATCATCCCCCAGTTCATGCTCCAGGGTGGTGACTTCACCAAGGGCAACGTGAGTTTACCCATCAACCCTACTCTGGGGCTTGTGCGGAAAGAGACGCCCACCCGAAATATACTGATCTCTACTGTAGGGCACTGGTGGCAAGTCCATCTACGGCGAGAAGTTCGCGGATGAGAACTTCCAGCTGAAGCACGACAAGCCCGGTCTGCTCTCCATGGCCAACGCTGGCAGGAACACGTACGTCATTATCTGGTATCTCTTGCTCAAGTTCAGCAAATACTAAACATGTAGCACAACAGCAACGGCTCCCAGTTCTTCATCACCACCGTCGTTACGGACTGGCTTAACGGCGCTCACGTCGTCTTCGGCGAGGTCGCGGAGGGCATGGACCTTGTCAAGAAGATTGAAAGCTATGGTACCTCGTCCGGTACTCCCAAGAAGAAGGTTACCATCGCCGACTGCGGTCAGCTGTAAAGAGCGATTGTCCTTGCCTGACTGCGTCGGACTAGTTGCGCCAATGATGCTCCATTAGAATACAGCTGAATAGCCCAATGAGAGCCAGTGACTATGTCTTTGAACTAGTGCATCTTATCTACTTAAGCCTGTAATCGATGTAGCTTTCAGTGACCGAAATGCACTCATATTCAATAATATTACCAATCCCCGAATCCCATGCAAGATCTGATATGATACGAATACTAAGCCGTGCTTCCAGGGTGCAATACTCAATATCAAATACAGTAAGAACTATGAGAATTTGATATGCAGCTCTTTACATCATAAGGGCAACCTATTGATGGCAGAAATTTGGATCGACCTAATCTTCTCAGTAAGATTCTATGAGAGACATACCTCAGTCTTCCAGCTACTTCCAGCTAAGATAAAGGGCCAGGCAACTTTCTACTCCACCTTCAACGCCATGGCTCACCGACCCTCAATTCTACATGAGAGCAGGAGTAGTTTGTTCGCTAGCCCTACGGTCATTGGGCAATGACTCTGTCAAGCAGAACTTCGACCTTACGTTTGGCTGGCTCAGAAGGACATGCTTCTTTACACTATCAAGGGCTCCTTTTTGGTCAGTAACTGAAGATGCCATGTGTAATCGTACGCGAAACCAGACTGACATATAGTCTTAGTCGCAAAGCATGTGAATGGAAAGAGAAAGAACATCAGTGTTTGATTATTCTCAGGAAATAATGTAGGAAGAAGATGTTAGTCCAAAGATAGAGCAAAGTAGCTGGAAAAGGAGGGAAATATCGGGTTGCAGAACGTTCTATTCTATGAGTATAGACAAAGCATATTAATGAAACGGGTTTATTTTGAAGTTACAACGCTCTATATGATAGTCAGCTTCGCAATCACATATTTCAAGGAGAAGAAAGGAATAACTCACAAATTCTTTCACCATCCTGATTTCACCATGCCCAGAATCATCCTCCGAGAGACTCAAGCGGGAGATCTCTGGTGGCCGGACAGCACGCACATTCACGCCCCCTGCAATATGTACGTCATGTTTCCCTTGAATTTCATACTCTAGATTCTGGTATGCGTTCAGGTTCCTATCTTGCAGTGGAATAGGCAGTCCACTCCAGCTGGTGGTGGTGGCGGAGCGTCTCTTGATACGGGCAGAGGAGGCGCTGCGGTTGTAGTGGTTTGCCGCGCGCTCGGAGGAGTTATAGTTGTAATTGTAGTTGTAGTTGGCGCTGCTGGAATGGCTCGTAATAAAGGTCTTAAAGGGAGGTAGGCAGCCGACAATCATGGCTTTGCAGGTTAGCGTTGGCTGCACAGTAGATGCTGCATATAGTACATACAGATCGAGGACTCAGCGATGCCCCAGACGGCCAGGGCGGCTTGATCGGAGTATGCTTTGCCGGTGATTGCCACAGCGCGGATAATGGCTGCGGCGATGATGATGAATCCGAGACAGAAGACAGTTGCTAGGCCCAGTTTCTGGTGGAGGTTCATCTTGGTCTTCCACAGGATGCGCAGGGGGAGGTACATAACTGTCATCTCGTTAACACTTCTCGCAGCACCTCTTGTGGTGACATCATACTCATCAGGTCGGTAAGAATGTCGACTGCCGTACTGTAGCAAATGGAAATGACGGATCCTCGGATGTCAATCGGTTTGGTGCATTTTCCTGGGCCGGTCAGCTAACGTACGCCAAAGCTCAACGACCACAATACCGAATCTAAAATAATCCGACGGAGGATGACAGTTCAAGACTGACGCCAGCCAGCATCCAATATACGCCAATACCGCGAACGTCGTGACTCCCCACCATACACGGCGATAATGCGGCAAGCCATCCGAAATGAGCCAAAACAGCGCCAG